CGAGGATTGAATTCGCCGCGAGTGACTGAAAAATTCTGATTTCTCAGAGCAACTCACAGGCGAGTTAAAGTGTGCCCACTGAAGAGGAATATTGTAATCGAGCACGGAGGAACATTTGAAACCTTTGTATCGTAAATTATTGTCCAGGATGATGGAAATATTTAATAGAAAAGGAATGTATCTATTATTATTAAGTAACACAGTTTTATATATATATATATAGTGGTTATACATATATAGTTATATATCTATAACTATAACTAGCTATATATATAGTTGTATATCTATAACTATAACTAGCTATATACATAGTAACTATAACTATAACTATATATATCTATATATGTTATAGTTATATATCTATATATATCTAGTTTTATATATATATAGTGGTTATAGTTATAGTTATAGTTATATATCTATATATATCTAGTTTTATATATAGTGGTTATAGTTATAGTTATAGTAATATATATATTGAAAAAGTGTACTATAACTATTTGACAAATGAAAATGAAACGATTCGTTATTTCGAATTGTGTCTGAAATAAAATTTGAGATAAAATTATTATAACGTATAGGGGAAATTTAGACAATATTATAATACATGCACCTTACGGATTGTACTTCATACTTTCGACAATACATATAATTCGAAGTATAAAGTAATTCATACAAAATTATATATGCACCAAAAAATAGTTGAATAGTTAACAAATTTAATAGCATTCTTAAACTAACAATCCTCTTAACTATCAAATCATAAAATGATCAATTTATAATTTCTGTCGGAAGCTTTATATAGTATAAACTTTATATATATAGTATAAAGTATAGTATAAAACTTTATACTATAGTATAAAAGTATAGTATAAAAGTATAGTATAAAACTTTACATATAGTATAAAGTATAGTATAAAACTTTATATATAGTATGAAGTATAGTATAAAACTTTATATAGTGTTTCTAGAAATTTGTAAATGATTAAAATAAATGTTTAAATAATTTATTGTGTTATAAAGCTCTTCTACTTTTATTACTCTACGTTCACTCAATGTTTCCAATGAAAATTAAAATTCACTAGTTCACTAGTTGCATATATTTTAATGTTAATGCCCACTTAAATACACGTAATTTAATTACATTATAAAGTTCTTTTATTTCTCTTGCTACTAAATATGGTTTCTAATGAAAATTTTACGTTTCAGTCGTTCCATATGTTTTAATGTTAATGCCCATTTAAATACGCGCCCATTTTAATTCACGAGCCAGCTGCGCGCGCAGCCTCTCGCGCAACGCGGGCGGCATTTCGCACTTTCAAAACTGAAAGATCTCTCAGATCTGATGTAAATGTCAAAAAGCAAATTATCCGAAATTTCCTACCGTCAGATCGAGAATTCCACTGACTACTTTTCTTTTTCTATCAGTTCGAACTTGTCGATAATCGAAACGCATCGAAATCATAATTTATATAGTCTAATTTTTATTTTTATTTTTAATTATATTCTAGTCTTTATTACATTCTAATTTTATATTCTTATTTTTAATTGTACTGTAATCTTATATTCTTTATTTCAATTACATTCTAATCTTTATTTTTGATTATATATTCCAATCTTTCTTTTTATTTCTAATTATACTCTAATCTTTATTACATTCTAATCTTATATTCTTATTTTCAATTACCTTCTAATATTTATTTTTAATTATATTCCAACCTTTGTTTTTATTTTTAATTATATTCTTATTTCTAATTATTTATCTAATTTTATATTCTTATTTTCGATTATATTCTAATCTTTATATTTAATTACATTCTAATCTTATATTTTTATTTTCAATTATATTTCATATTATATTCTTTATTTTTAATTATATTCCAATCTTTATTTTTACTTTTAATTATACTCTAATCTTATATTCTTATTTTTAATTATTTATCTAATCTTATATTCTTATTTTTGATTATTTATCTAATCTTATATTCTTATTTTTAATTATTTATCTAATATTCTTGTTTTCGATTATATCTTTATTTTTAATGACATTCTAATCTTATATTCTTATTTTCAATTATATTCTAAACTTTATTTTTAATTACATTCCAGTCTTTATTTTTATTTTTAATTACACTCCGATCTTTATTATATTCTAATCTTATATATTCTCTTTTCTAATTATATTACAATCTTTATTTTCATTTTTAATTACACTCTAATCGTTTTTCCAAATTCTACTCCACTCCAACACCTGCTGCTAGAAAAAAAAAAAAATGTAAATATTCTGCATTAATTCGTACTAAAAATTAAGACACGTTCGAAAAGGAAAACAAAAAAAAAAAAAAAAAAAAAAAAAAAAAAAGAAGAAGTTCGAACTGCACTTCTACTTTCGCCGAGCGGTGGTAACCAACGGATCAGAATTCTCACGTGATACCGGAGTCGTTTCTCCCCGGTGATCTGATTAAAGCCTCGCCCCTGCCGGCGGTGCAACAGCATAAACATTATGATTCCAGGCAACATAAATACACGGCTGCATTGGCGTGCCGATACGGGGCTCGTGCAACGGGGCCCGGGGGGTTGAAGGGGGGGCGGTTGGCGTCGCGCGAGTTTCGGTCTCCACGCCGATGCGGCAACGCCGGGCCCGCCGCTTTAATATAATATTATTGGCTATTGATAAATTGTCGATAATGATGGGTTAGCCACCCCCGAGATGGGGCCGCGTGGGAGGGAAAGAGGGAGGGAGGAAGTTCTCCTCCGAGTTCTCGGGCCGAGGTATCTTCCCAGCTTCTGTCCTCCTTCCCGCGGCTCGTCTCGCTCGACTCTTTGCGAGCTTCGAGCGAAATTCTTGTTAAAATCACGGCCCGATCCGCCACCTTCGCCCTCCTTTCTTTCTTCCACCCCCGGCGCCCTCGTCCCGTCGCTCGATTTCGCTGGCGTGTGCAAACGACGGAATATTCGAACAAGCGGAGGTCCGAGGAGGAAGGAGAGGACGACGTCGTTGTGAGTGAAGATGAAAGAGCAGGTAATATGTATGTATAATATGTATGTATGTTCAATATGTATGTTTGGTAGTTTTGGCCCGAATGGACCCAGCATTCGCTGATCTTTGAGTTGTCTAATAGTTGCTTTCAACACTGTCAAAATGGTCAATTTATAATTTTTTTTTTTTTTTTTTGTTATTTTATTGTATATATGAAATATGATTTAAATGATTTTTCGTAAATTTTTAATCTGTAAATAAAAGCTTGTGTATCACAATGTTTCTCTGCTCCACTGATCTGTTGGTTACTTTGAGTTGTGTATAATAGTTGCTTTCGACACTGGAACCGTCAAAATGGTCAAAATGAGCAATTTATAATTTTTTCCTGTTATTTTATTGCACATGTGAAACATGATTTAAATGATTTTTCGTAAAATTTTAATGTGTAAATAAAAGCTTGTGTACTCCAAGCTTGTGTATCACAATGTATCTGTTCCACTGATCTGTTGGTTACTTTGAGTTGTGTATAATAGTTGCTTTTGACACTGGAACCGTCAAAATGGTCACAATGAGCAATTATAATTTTTTTTATTATTTTATTGTATATGTAAAACGTGATTTAAATGATTTTTTGTAAATTTTTAATCTGTAAATGAAAGCTTGTGTACTCCATGCTTGTGTATCACAATGTTTCTCTGTTGCACTGATCTGTTGGTTACTTTGAGTTGTGTATAATAGTTGCTTTCGACACTGGAACCATCAAAATGGTCAAAATGAGCAATTTATAATTTTTTCCTGTTATTTTATTGCACATATGAAACATGATTTAAATGATTTTTTGTAAATTTTTAATCTGTAAATGAAAGCTTGTGTACTCCATGCTTGTGTATCACAATGTTTCTCTGTTGCATTGATCTGTTGGTTACTTTGAGTTGTGTATAATAGTTGCTTTCGACACTGGAACCATCAAAATGGTCAAAATGAGCAATTTA